GTGATTCCGGCGGGGGGGGCGGGGACAGTCGTATCAGCTGTTGTGGCTGCTGATGCTGATGCTGATGCTGGTTGTGGTGCTGATGTTGATGTTGATGTTGATGTTGATGCGAGTGAAGTTGACTCAAGTGGGAAATGTCAGGTTGGGCCGGTTGGTTGGGCCGGTTCGGCTGTCCGCGACGCGGGGACGAGGCCAAACACGAGCCGATGTTGGCCGGGGCAACAGAATGAATTCTCGGCTGCTGCTGGGTCGGCTGACGATGGTGGTTGTGATGGTGAAAATGAGTGTCAGTGCTGGTTGATGTGTGCTGAATGGGCGGAAGAGAGGGAGGAGGCATCGGCTGACGTGCGAGTTCAGGCGTGCCGGATGGCGGAAATCGCGTATTCTCGAGCGCCATCATGGCCCGAGAGGTCTGCTGAATGGGTTGCGAGTGAGAATGCTCAAGGTCTGGGTGCTGGTGATGCTGATGATGCTGATGATGCTGATGGTGTTGGTGCTGCTGATGCTGGTGATGATTCTGATGATGCTGAGGCGGATGAGGTTGATGAGAAAGAGGTGCAGCATGGAAATGCGAGTGGTGCTGTTGCGGATAGACACAGTAGAAGGGATGCGACCGAGCCGAGGCGGAACTGTTGCCAGGCGAAAGGGAAGACGAGTTGGCGGGGCTGAGTGATGCTTGCGAGAAGGGGGCGGTGTGCGGGCAACCGGCGTGAAGGAGCGGTGCAAGCCGGGCAACTGAGCTGGCGCGCAGAGCCACTTCAACTAGCGCCGTCTGGTCACCATGCGCACAGGTCTCCGAGGCTGGACGGACGAGGCCAGAGGCGTAGGCCAGTGACTGGGGCTCGAGGTCGCCGGGGCAACGATGCGCATCATGCGGCTGGGAGTACACCTCGACCGGGCCGGTTGGCTGCGGCAGAGGTGGCGTAGATGCCCGAGAACGCAGTGGTACAGATTGTGTTGTTGTTGTTGTTCTTGTTGTTGTTGTTGTTCTTGTTGTTGTTGTTGGCGGCGGCGGCGGTGGTGGTGGTGGTGGTGGTAATGTAGATGGGGCGGACGTTGCTGGTGGTGGTGGTGACGACAACGGGCTGGCTGCAGTAGAATGAGCACTGTAGAGTCGTTTACATGCGGCCGATTCATAATCGGCACGGCCTGGATTCGCAATAGGGAGGAGAGAAGTAGCGGAAATACATGAGCTTGCCCTGCAGAAAACAGGCTTTATTCGAAGAAGCAACTTTTCAAACTGTCTGGTGATATGCATGACGACACGTTCACTCGCAGAACATGATATAAGCTTAATTGAAGAGGTGGAGAATGAGATTAGGTGGACTTTATGACTTGCAGAATAGAAGTTGCTTGACCTCGTGAATGTACCCTTTCCGGAGTTCTCTGTCATGGTCATTTCCAGCGGTCGACTGTGGATTGTGCACATTCTCAGACGTTCTAGCCGCATTGTTAATGAGCCTTGTCATTCCTATCCACACACTGAAACTCGCCACTTTTATGAGATGTATTCACCTTATTTGGCTTCAGATGAGTTGAATGTTCCCACAATGAATTTCACATACCGTATTTTCCGGCGTCAAAGACGACATTTCACACCATAAATTTCTGCTCCTAAGTGGGGGGCCGTCTTATACGCCGAGTGTAGTTTAGGGATCGCTAATTATACTATGGTTCCGAGCTCTTGTTGTGCCCCTTATCGCCTTACAAAATCTATATTTTAACTGGAAAATTCAGGGGGTTGTCTTATACGCCCAGTCGTCTTATACGCCGGAAAATACGGTAGCTTTGCTTTCCCAAATGGTGTCATCGTCCAGGGTGGATTGCAGTTTCGACCTCGCATAGGTCTTATCAACAGCCCCAGCGAGACTCGAGCCATGACAGTCTCCATAGCAAATTGTTTGGTGGGATTGTAGATGAAATAAAGTCACATTTGCTATGACAACCGACTGCATCACTCATTTTTAGTTTATAAGTAGAATGTGATGTGGGAAAAGGCATGGCCTCCCTTGAAATTCACATCTGCCCTGTGAAGCACGGGCACTCGTGACCAGGTGACGCAGTGGTTGTCATGTCGAGATTACACGCTGAACTGTGATTGATCAATGCCCGATGGGGGTATTGATAGGATCTAGGCAGTCCAGTCTGTATTAGAGCACATTTTGAGAAAGCTAGGCTATGTGAAATTCAATAGAAACGTCAGCTCTACTCATATCATTGTGAGAATATTCATCTACCAGTCCCTCATCACCTTGAATCAAATAGGGTGATTACATCTCATATAGCCGACTTACTGTTGGTATCGAGACCCTACTTATAAATAAAAAATAGTCTAAAATATTTTCGAAGAAAAGTTGGCGTTTCAGGAATCTCGTGGTCTCTAAG